CAAGACATTTTTTTATGATTGTCTTGATTATGGGGCAATTATCATTTCCCAAGTCAAAGTCAAATGCACTTGTATATGCTTTACAAGTAAAACAGCAAACTATAAAACACAATACAGCACAATGGCTAAAAGACAAGCAGATGTACATATAAAACAAGATGATACAATCATAAGAATATAAAAGTAAGATACTTGAATCGAATGCCAACCAAAAGACTTTAGCTGCAACCTACTAAAGCCTGAGTAGTCCTTTCATGTTTAAGAGATTTGGAGAAGCCACTGCAAAGGCTCAATCACCTTTATTTTTGTGCAACAGATGCTTACGAGACGACTGCTCAACACCCGCATACAAGAATTGCACCATGTTTGTAATAGGGAAGGAGGGTGCATTAGAGGTCAAACATAACAATATGTAACATTAAAGCTGGAAGTAAGTTAATGTCAGGTTTGCTTTTCTGTGTAAAACCTCAGAGAGGAACCACACTCACATTGTAGGTCAACAACACAGTGACCCGCTGACATGTGATACTACTTTTCTGTTCAGTATCAAGCAGAAGACATTGTTGGGAGTTTTACATCAGATGACCACAGAACTGTCTGCCTCCTACACCTGCGCCTTCACTGTGGTTTTTACACCCACAAAGTTACACACAATATAATCACATTGTGCAACAGAAACCCTCATGATGCTTGACTGCATATTTCAGTGGCTCATTTGATTTCATGAAAATGTCATAAACATGTTTGTTTTTTGACCTTTGACTTTCACAGCTGCTTCATTTCATCAGAAGCTTCAAACTCAAAGTCATGTGACAAGCCAACTCTTTTCATTTGACACCAAAACACTTCATGTTGAAATTATTTTTTAGATCAAAGTAAGGCAATTAAAGTTGATGTGTATATTATATTCCATACAAAAGGCAGCAGAAAGCGTGTTGCTTTAAATGGTACATTGAAACATCAAATATTAACTTTTATGACATCAAATATTAACTTTTAAATGCATGAAAAACGGTGACGTGAGCTTTACATTCAGTCACCAAAGTATTCTGGAGGTTTGTTGCTGCTCTTTGGTGCAGACTAAATGCTGCTTATTCTGTGTTTTTGCCTCTGAGTACAGTTAGCAGACAGCTGCTGAGTTACCTGAATCAATGAGGTAAAAGGCACTAAGAGATATTTTAGTCCTGAATTACTGAAATTTACAGGCGAGCAGCAGTGACTGTACGTCACGTTTTTTCTGTACATCACTCAACAAATTACAGCCATTGATTTATTTACTGAAGATGAAAACATATTATGATACAGAGTTGAATATTTTGCATAATTTAACCTAATAAAAGCATGTCAGTAATAAAAAAGAAAGGCCTAAAGATCAAGCCTTATGCGTTTGCACATCATCCTCCAGATGTTAGGATGCTTATGTAAGTGGTGTAGACCTCCACTTTATGCTGTGGCCAGTTGAAACAAATATCTCACTGGTTTTCTTTCTTTCAAGCTGCTGCTTCGATTTCATATCCACGCTCAATCTCTGGTTTATCATCTTTGGATTAGGCAGACTAACTATGTTTATGTTTCCCCAGCCCCTGACTTGTGCAGTTCTTGGTTGTAGACCTGCAAAGCACCACTTTAGAGACAGTTGTGATTGGCTCAGAGCTGTTTTTTTGGCTGCCAAAATGTAAAGAACTTGGTTTATTTTTATTTATTTATTGTTATTATTACTGGCTCCAAACCAGTTCATTCTGCCTGTCTGGTAGTATTGTACAGTCAACCACTGAAACCCAATGGCTGCAGTAAAGTGTTTCTTACATCAGGTTATTATGATTTTTCACAACATGTTGCTGTTAAATTACTTTTGGAATTTTTATGTGGGTGAGGTTTGTTGTGGGTCTGTGGCAACTCATCACACACGTATCCTTGTGTTTGTTGAGGAAGGTTTGATGCGTCATTTGAAAAAAAAAAACATCATGTTGAGAGAAATCTATAACATGCAATCAGTCCTTATCCCGAGCTTCCTTCAAACACTGTTTATCTCATATTGCAGTCTGGTTTGAAGCACCAAAGTATTTTTTAATGGGATGTTTTTCTGTTTTTGTGTCTCGATCTTGAGCAAGTGTTTCATCTTAGCTGCTGCAAAAATACACATTTTCATGACGTGCACATTTTCTTTCATTCTTCATTAAACTGGAAAGTTTTACACCGCTCAGAAAGAACCATTTCTGCAAACAAACCATATCTACAACAAATGTTTACGTACACTTCTAAAGACAGGCAGAGAGACATGGCACTCTTGAGTTCAACTGATTCCTTTCACTTTCAGTTTTCTGTGAGGGAATCATTGGCATATGTGTCTTTGTCACAAAAATACATAATTTATTTTGGCTCTTTCATGAATTTGTTATAGGTCTTATAGGTCAAAATATGTTGGGTCAAAAATATACACACAGCAACTTGACTTATCAGTTTTGGTGCTGGTGAAAGCTGTGTTAGTCAGCTTTTTTTCGTGGCATTGCCTCTTAACTTCTTGTAAGTGATTAAGATTGACTGCAGCTACCGTCCTCTCTGAGCCAGTTTAAATAGAATCCATTTAACACACTCATTAGACTCAACACAAACACTATGGTGGGAAAGTCTGAGGAACTAGGCAAAGCAAATCAATGACTCAAACAAGTCAGTAAAGTCACTGGGAGAAATTTAAAAGCTGCTACAGATCCCAAAATTTATCTGTGATTTCTGAAAGTGCATGATGCAGTTCTGTCACGACCATGATCAGAAAGAAAACATAAACTATCACCTGCTGCTGAGAGACAATTAGTCCGGATGGTCAAGAGTCAACCAAGAATCACCAAAAAGCAGCTCTGCAATGAATTAGAAGCTACTCAGGTGGAACTCAAGAACTTGGGTGTCCACAGTGTTTTAGATCAACATGAGCTGAGAGGCTTCATGAAGAAAGAAGTTCTTCCTCCAGAAGGGCACCTTAAGGCTTGACTGAAGTTTGCTGCTGATCACATGGACAAAGAAAAGGCCTTCTGGAAGAAGGTTTTGTGGTCAAATGAAGGAGAAAAATTGAGCTATTTGGACATACACTGCCTGGCCAAAAAAAAAGTTGCCACCAAAAAAAAAAGGTCATACACTCTAATACTTTGTTGGACCACCTTTAGCTTTGATTACGGCACGCATTCGCTGTGGCATTGTTTCGATAAGCTTCTGCAATGTCAAAAGATTTATTTCCATCCAGTGTTGCATTAATTTTTCACGAAGATCTTGCATTGATGATGGTAGAGTCTGACCGCTGCGCAAAGCCCTTTCTAGCACATCCCAAAGATTCTCAATGGGGTTGAGGTCTGGACTCTGTGGTGGCCAATCCATGTGTGAAAATGATGTGTCATGCTCCCTGAACCAGTCTTTCACAACTTGAGCCCAATGAATCCTGGCATTGTCATCTTGGAATATGCCTGTGCCATCAGGGAAGAAAAAGTCCATTGATGGAATAACCTGGTCATTCAGTATATTCAGGTAGTCAGTTGACCTCATTCTTTGAGCACATACTGTTGCTGAACCTAGATCTGACCAACTGCAGCAACCCCAGATCATAACACTGCCCCCACAGGCTTGTACAGTA